ATACTGTACTTTGGCACTTGATATTTGCATTAGTTCCCTGTGGTGCCAGAAGAAATTACCATAAACTTTCTGGCTTAAAAAAATAGAAATGTATTCTCTCACAGTTCTGGAGGACAAAAGTCTGACGTTAGTATCACTGAGCTGAAATCAAGGTGTTAGTAGGGTTACACTCCCTCTAAAGGGTGTAGGGGAGATTCTGTTCCTTGCTTCTTCCAGCTTCTGATGATTACTAGCATTCCTTGGCTTGTGGCCACGTCACTCTAATCTGTAAGACCAGCATCTTCAAATTTCTCTGTCGTCTGTCTTCATAACATCCACTGTTTTGTATGTGCGTCTAATCTCCCTCTGTCTTACTCTTATAAAGATCTATGTGACTGCATTGGGGGCCCACCTGGATAATCCAGGAGAATCTCCCTATCCCGAGATCCTTAACTTAATCCCATCTGCAAAAAACATTTCTCCAAATAAGTAATATTTATAGGTTCTAGGAATCAGGACCTGTTATCTTTGGGGACATTATCAGCTCACCACAACATTCAGTAAATCTTTGGAGGGTAGTGAGAGCAGACATGCATTGTCATCTTCATTTCACAGTCCAGGAAGTTGCAATTCAGAGCATTTAAGATATGTCATAAGCCTGTCCAGTGGCAGACAAGGGACTAGAAATACTGAGCAAATCCTTTTAAGCTGTGTTGTTTCCTTAAGAGCGCCCAGAGGACAAATGGCACGTGGTCCATCTCCTTGCCTTTCTGTGCACCATTGGATGGAGTGCACAAAAGCACAGCACAAAAAGTGACCCTTGGGGCTATCTTGCTGATGGAAATCTTAGCCTGTATAGGACTTTCTTGGCACCCTAAGGACCAGGAAAAAGCCTGGCATGGAAATCTGGATCCAGCTGTGCCATTAATGAGTTGTGTGAGCTTGGGCAAATTTCTGTGACTTTCTGCTTCTCAGATTCCTCATGCTTAAGACAAGGGGATTGGGGCAAAATATAGATATCATGTATGGAGTATCCACAATGTGCTAAGAATCTCTGTGCTGGACTAAGAACTTGGCCTACATTATTTCATGCCCCCCTCACAAACAACATGATGAGAGTGGTATCATTATGCCCATTGTCCTAAGGAGGTTTAGGGAGATTGAGCAGTTTAACCAAAGCTACCCTGTAAGCAAGTGGTGTGCCCAAAATATTATTCACCTGTTTGGCTCCAAAGTCTTTCCTTGACCTTCTTCTCCCTTGATTCCCACCATACTGCCCATCCATACCACTGTGATACCATGATGCTGGCATGGCACAGGGATCTGCGGCGTATCACGGCCACATGCCAACCAAGCCAAATGTCCCAGGACACAACCCACTTGTCTCTGCTATTTTTTAAGGAGTTTGCTGCTGGCTGGCAGCCAGATGCAGGATAGTCCTTTTTTCAGGATAGTATGTGAGAGAGATGTGGTCCTGAGCAAAGCCAGAAACTCCCAGGGAAAATTCCCTCATGGGAATGTCACAGGAAACAGAATTGTGTGGATCAGTGGCGGACAGTAGTCTGCTTTTATCAGTTAAACAGCTTGTAAGCATTTGTGTCTGTTTTGGTCTATAAACCCTAGGTTCTTTGTCTCCATGATTTTTGAGGCAGCTTCATACAATCATTGCATATCAAGGCTGGGAGAAGCCCTGGAAAGAGGGTAATCTCACATCTACATTTTGCTTTTGAAGAAACAGAGGCATAATTAAGTGAAATTCATTTATTCAGCAAACATTGAATGAGGGCCCATGTTTCAGATATAGTGCTAAATGCCAGGATGAAGAAATGAAACAACACATCACTGTTCTAGGATCTCTGTGCCTAGTGGGTGAGGCTTGCTCATAAACGTACAATTTCAATAAATATGGTAAACACTGCAATTGTGCTGATTATTCTATGGGAGCCTGAGGGAGTCAGCGGAGACTGATGTTTGAGCTAGAAGAGGAAAGGAGGAAAAGACAAACCAGGCAAGGGAACTAGGATCCGGGAGGGGTCAAGTGTATCCAGAGAAGAATGCTGAGAAGTTTGTGGTGGCTGGAACCTTGGGGGTGTGAGAGGAGGTCACCGAGGGGCCAGGAGACTTACCTCAAGTCAAATAACTTATGGACTGTTGAGATTCACAGATTTCAGTCCATACCCTCAGGTAGGTTTTAATGTCACTTTCCTTTCACTGGGTCTATTTTGCACACCTTGGTTTTACTAGGCTAGACTTGGCATCCTTCACCTGGCATGTGAATCGCTTTCCCATGCTGCAGAACTTCCCAGGGCAGCCAACAGGGCTGCTGACCACATGACAGAGTTCTGTGATGTTTGTGGATCAGCTCACACTCCGGTACCCGATTTTCTGTTTCTAGCCTGCAACAAAGCCATAACCCCTGCTCAGCATGGAGGCCTCAAGTTACACCGTGATTCTGAGAGAACATGGTACTTCTGTGTGTGCACATAGTTAAAAATTCCTTCTGAATAAAGCCATTGTTTTTTGGGATTGTTTTCCGGCTTTGTTTTCCGGTCCCCGGGCCCCCTCTCCTCCGAGCGCATCCAGCACCTGAATCAGAGCCACTGCTGCCTCCCGGGTTGAAATCTCACGAGAACTCTGTGTCGTTTTTAATCACCAAAGAATAACTGAAATTCCAAAATTTGGGACTGCTGTATTTTCTATAGAAATGAGGAGAAGAAAGGTCTACTGTTCCTCTCTTGGTTTCAAGATTGATCTATTGCCCTTTTAATCTAGCTTCCAGATTTTTCTGCAGAATTCATTAACCACAAGTTGGTTTCTAAATCCCCATGGTGCCTATGTATACTTGATATACTTTTACTGGCTGGCTGAACATTATGTTGGAAATGGAGGTGACGAACTACTGCTACACTAGTAGCATGGTTCCATGGTATTCCCTTGTCCTTTAAAACTGGTGGATCCTGCCAAATTCCTTTTCATTAATTATAATAACAATAATAACAAAAGATTCTTTTGGGGACTCCTCTCTGCCTTCATAATGCAGTTCTTTCTCTTCTATATTCCCCTTAGGATATTTTCTACTTAATGAGATACAGTGATACATATTCTTCCTCACTATTTCTCTTCTGCCTGAATGTGATTTTTGTACCTGCAATGGTCCTGCAGTTTGGGTCCAGAGTGCCAAACAGGAATCTTTAAAGAAGGGAAGAAAATACTGAGGCTAAAATTGTGCACTCTGGAGAAATATTATTTTCTTCCGTTAGCATTTATTGATGGCCTACTCTGTGCTATCCTAGATTTTGAGGGTGTAAAGATAAATCAGTCTATGTACACAAGGAAATGAGTTGAGTGAAGAAGACTACTGAGTAAAGAAACAGACACACAGACAGAAAGGATGGGCATCCCTAAAGGGCTGTGAAAGTATGAGACAAGGACTACTTAGCCTGGTTGGAGGGCGGGAGAACAAAGGGGGTACATTTCCAGAGATACACTGAGTTGACTCTTAAGGAAGAGAATTGAATAAGTATTGAACAGAAAATTATGGAAGAAGGGGAGGAGGGAGAGATGACACAAAGTCGGGGGTGGAGTGGAATAGAAGGGAGCATAATTGCAAAGACCTGGAAGCCAGAGATGGGCAAACAAGAGCACATGCAAAGGACTGTATTGAGGAGGGGATAAAAGTTTTAACTAATACCCTTTCATATATCATTATTTCACAAATGTTGGTTGAATAGATGACTGTGGTAGGTATATAATACTGTATCGAGATAAGAAGGACATTGAGTCCTTTTTCCAAGTCCTTGAAGCCATCTTATAAGTGAAGAAGCTGGGATTTGATTTTACTCCCCCGGCTTTTGGTTCAGGTACTTTGCAGCTGCTTCACGTGCATTCACAGAAGCCGTTGTTAGGTAGCCTTTCTCAAGAGGCAGGCCAGTAGCATTATGTGAGTTAACAACCACATTCTCTAGGACTTCGAGGAAACCTGTGTAATGTGTGTACTTAAGAAATCAAGGAAGAAACAAAGTGATTCTCTAAAGGAGGGCATTGGATGAGTTAAGAAGAGAAACCAAAGATAAAGAAGGTTAAGCAACGATGAAGAAAAGGAAGAAAGTAATTAGAGTTCAGTGAGCTAAAGATACAATTTAAAGACTTTTCAGGAAGGAGCCAAGGTGGGAATGGGAGAGATTAGATTGCAAGGTTTCTAAGGGCTGGCAAAAGCTTTAGGGTAAATCAAAGCACTGTTGCCAATTCAACAGAATTTTACATAACTCTAGGAAATTTAGTAACAGTCCATTAGCTGCAAAACCCAGGATCAAGAAGAAAGCTAAAACACAGGGCAAGTTCTGGAAGCCTCATATACCTAAGGGTTTTGGCCTGGCAACATGCTGATGCCTGAAGGGTCTGAGAGATCATCTCTTATGACCTCCTCACTCTGCCGCAGAGGAAACGGAGGCCAGAGAGATGGTATTAATTCTACATGTGATTGAGTTTACTGCTAAGTAGGGACTTTAAATTATAAGCTTCCAACACTCAATTCAGTGCTCTTTGCAAGAATGTGAATTTCAGAACAGGGCATGTGTTTCCAAAAGTGGTCGGAACCATCTCTATCCTCAGGTCAATCATAGAACATAGGGTGTAGAGTCAGGAACCTGAATTACAAAGAACAATGGGAAGAGAAAGAGAAGTGTGCTCTGGGAAAGCAAGCACTAGGAGGCGATGACATTATAATATTGTAGAAGACTGGGACATGAGGAAAAATGGAGTGTGGGAATGAAGAGGTTGGTGAAACACAGAGGGAAGATAAGGGGTTGGAATCTTGTTAGTAGATATATCAGAAAGGCTCTTTCTTACATTTTATGCAGAGTAAGCCATTACTTATGTTTTTGTTAAGACTTTTTTTTTTTTTTTGCTCTACGCGGGCCTCTCACTGTTGTGGCCTCCTCCCGTTGCGGAGCACAGGCTCTGGACACGCAGGCTCAGCGGCCATGGCTCCCGGGCCCAGCCGCTCCGCGGCATGTGGGATCTTCCCGGACCGGGGCACGAACCCATGTCCCCTGCATCGGCAGGTGGACTCTCAACCACTGCGCCACCAGGGAAGCCCCCGGCAAGTTATTCTGACGAGACAAATTACTTTATGGAAGCTGTTAAATATATGGAAAGATGGAAAAGAGTAAAAGGAATAGTGAAGAAACCCAAAGCTGCAGGAAGCAGCTACAGGCCCTTGGGCTGGGGAACAAAAGGAAGTGGCTGGGATTTTAGAGCTTAGAAGCTTGAAGGAGGGGCCCTTCCAGACTTCAGAGGAGGAAACTGTCAGCTGGTGCCCTGAAAACAGGACTCAGGCCATAGAGGAGGGAAGGCCACCTGTATGGTTCTGATATTGGTAAGTGGGTGGTTTTAGGAGTGGAGGAAAAAAAAACAGACAGTAGAACTAATTGCTGCTTTGGGGACCAACTACTGCTAGGGTGAGAAGCATTGCTGGGCCGGTACAGATGGGAACAGCAGGAACCAAGAAGGCGTCTGGGTCTTTTCCCCTCCTCCAGTCTTCCAGTCTCCATCTAGAGTCTGCTAATGGCAGAACACAACAAAGAGCCATCAGAAATGGAAAGATATAGTTTTCAAAGTCTTAGTTCCCAAATTAAAAAAGCAGAGTATAGAATAGGGTAGGTTTGAGACTGAAATGCCACAGCTTGAAACCCAAACAACGTCTCAATTGCTCTGTAATCCCCATGTGTATAGATCTCTGATCCTAGAAACTAATCTCTCCCCCTTCTTGGTTCTGACCCACTTTTCCTCTTCCCTTTTATGGGAAAACTTTCTCACCTCCTGTTTTCTCTTGAAGCTTTTCCAGTCAAGCTCTCATCCCTAACACTCCATGGGAACCAACCTGTTTTGTATTCCAGAAGGCTCTTCTTCCTCTGGTCATGGTTCTAAGTTTTATCTAAAGGATGGTTTTCAAAGGGACATTCTTCTAAAACTCATTGCTCTCTAAAACAAACAAAAACAAAAAAATACACAAATAAACAAACAAAAATTGTAGAGGTCAGAGGTATGACTTCACCAGAAAAACCTCATGGAGGAAAAAAGAAAGATAAACCCACCCATTCTTATTCCAAAACCAAGTTTTTGGATAGGCGGAAAGGGAATGTGTTGGGTAGACAGAACATATTCAGTTATCTTGAGAAGAATGTTAGCTCCAGCTCTGGCTTTTCAAATGGCTCATTTGAGGGACTGATTTGGGGCTCAGGGAAGTGAAAAAAATCTGACCGTCTTATTTGGAGAGAAATTATGGATGATGAAACTTGTCCTTCATTCTCCTCACTTCCTTTGACAATAACCACCACTTCCTCCTTGTTCTCCAAGTTATCAATGCAGTTTAGGCTGGAGACAAATCTGAGTAGCCATATTGATTTCACAAATAACTGTTGTCAGTTTCGATCTCTGGTCCAGAAAAATCCCACTAGATTTGAGCAGCTTTGAAGCTATTTTTAATCTGCAAATAACACTAATCTGAGCTCTATATTCATGGGGAAAACACACAGGCACCCTGGAACTAAAGCAATGTATATTTTCTTTTAATAAACAGTTTGAATATGAGCTTTGAGAGGCTGTAGAAGATTTCTTTTGAAAGAAATTTTACAAACCTCTTGTCTACTAGAGCAAACCTTGCTCAACTGCATTCTTTAAGTCCTTCTTTAAACCTCTTTAATCTCCTCATCCCATATCCTTGATTTAATACTATAGCTCAGATACTTGTCTCAAATCTTGGGAAGCATATCTTGATCTTCATCATAGGTGAAATGGGGTAAGAAATGAGGTTTAATGTGACAATTAAGATAATATCATGAACATGGAAGCAACCCGAGTGTCCATCAATGGATGAATGGATAAAGAAAAGGATACAATCCAGCATTATTCAGCCATAGAAAAGAAGGAAATCTTGCCATTTGCAACAACGTGGATGGACCTTGAGGGTATTATGCTAATGGAAACAAGTAAGACAAAGAAAGACAAATGCCATATAAATTCACATATATGGAACCTAAAAACAAACAGACAACAGCAACAACAAAATGAACTCAGGTACAGAGCATAGATTGGTGGTTGCCAGAGGATGGGGTTTGCAAGAGGGTGAAATGGGTGAAGATGGTCAAAGTGTACAGACTTCCAGTTATAAAATAAATCAGTCATGGGAGTATAATATACAGAATGGTGACTGTAGTTAATAATACTGAATTGTATATCTGAAAGTTACTAAAAGAGTAAACCTTAAAAAAAAATTTCTAACCCTCCATTTAGTTATCTTTCTCCCAGACTGCTGCTTCCTGATTCTCATTTTCACCTTTTCACCCTTGATCAAGAATGGCATTGCTCCAAATGCCATCTGCTTCCCTCTTTAAATGTATGTCTTTCCATCACTCCAGAACACTACTTTAAAACTATGCTCCTCTAAAATCCTTGGCCTTTAACCCCAGGTGGCTCTCACCTGCCTTCATCTAGTGTCAAAATCTCTTCCCAAATCCCACCAGCCCTTCCTCCTGTGTACACACATGAATGAATTCAAGTCAGATTAATATGATTTGGGGTTTATTCTAACTTCCTATTTTTACTATATGTTTTTTGGTTTTCTAACAGTGAACTACTTGATAGAGTTTCTCCCATCATTTTCCCTTCTATCCTTGAGCTAAACACAGTGGTTCTTTACACAGACAGTAGTTCAATATCTATTGACAAAACAGCAGAATTGGAGGAGTAAGTTGCCCTCTCTTGTTTACATCTTATTGCTTTTAAAACACACAGAATTCTCTCTCTGTTGATGGAGTGCCTTTTCAAAGCTGCCCATGCTAGGCCAAATATATTCTATGTCAATTCTTCTTGGCCTTGGAGCTGTGACATGGTTGAAAGGTATATTGCAAGTAAATTGTTACTAATAATAATTATAGCACTGACATTTGGAAATAATTTACATTTTTTTAAAGTAGAGAAAATCAAAGTAGTTATCCCTGTAATATTACCCTTACCACTTACATTTTTGAATGGTTAGAAACGGGGGGAGTTATCGTTTTAGATTAGCCACCCTCTTTTAAGGTAACCTTGCATTGTACTTTTGTGTAGTGAACTTCTGTTCATCCCTCTGCTTAGGCCCACATACTATCTCCTCTAAGAGTATTTGGCTGTCACCCCAGCCCAGGCTACGTGCCCCTCCCCTGTGCCTCCATTGCCCTCTCCTGATATCCCTTATACATTGTATAGAAACCGTCTGCCTCTCCTCCATGGACTACAGGCTTCTTGGAGACAAGGACTCTGTTGTACTGGTTTTTATACTCCTAGTATCAGTAGAGACCCTAACACAGAATAGGTTTTAAACATGTTTGCTAAAGTGAGCATAACCAACTGTTCTGAGTGAGTTTGGCTTGGTAAATTACATCTTGTTAACTTTAGAAAATCTTTGCAATGTTAAGACACCACATACAATAAGAAGAAGCAAATGGAGGCAAATAGGGCTGTCATTTTTAAAGGAGGAAAAGGTAAATGGTCCCAGACTCTGTATTACTGAGTGTTACAGGCAGCTTTTAGGCTAGATTGTTGAGGTATTAGATTTCATGTCCTTAGAGATAAAGAAACAGTGATCACTAGTAACCAGCACAGGATCTCCCCACTCCCACACCAAAATATTCACTGGTTCATAGTCATTTATGGAACCCATTCTATGGGCCAGGCACTGTACAAAGGTAACTGATCTTAACCTTGAAGAGATTTCAGTTCTTGTGGGACAGTCACACCTGAAAAGCCTATAAATAGGTATATAGTAGCCATCTTCATGACTTATGGAAAACTTACTCAAGGGCTGGTGATGAATAGATCAGTGTTTACCTAAAGATATATTTAAAGTGACATGCACTGAGATGTTTCCCTGTTTTATCTTTACCTACCTTTTGTTAGCGATAATTAACATGATAATGTAGAGATGGTTATATTGGTGGCTGAATCAAAGTTGGGAGGGATGGTAAATATGGGAAATAAGATCTACAACTATCTTTGTGGTTTCAATAATAAACAACATTCATTAAGATGAATGCAAAGTTCTGTACATCAGTCTCAAGACTCAATATTCTTAGATGGAGGCGATAGCAAGACAAATTCCAAATTAACACAAGAAAGAACTTTCTAATAATCAGAGCCATTGTCCAGAAATGGAACAAACTATTCTAGGAGATAATGTGTTGTCCTCACTAAATCTTTCAAGTAGACGCTGGGAACCCCCATGGATGCAGGTTGGAGGAAGGGGCCTGCCAGCCCAGGTGGCCCATGACTCACGGGTGTTGGATGAGTAGGATAACTGTGGTGAGGGAGTACACAGGCCTGGGGTCAGAGCAGAGCTGAATTCCCAATAGGCAGGATAAGCTTAGGCTCAGAGCACCGGAAGGCAGGGGAAATCTAATGATAGGAGAAAATATTTCTGAAGGCATTTGATAGGAAATATTTCTAAAAAGGCATTTAAAATGAATCATCCTGGGAAAAATCAGAACATCAGAGTACCTCATTATACTTTGCTTAATATTTTTATACTGAATGACTTATGGGGCTGTTACCATAATCTTTTTAGAGGTTACTAGAATCTCTGAAGACCTTTATCTGGTCCTCGTTTGGAAATGTAGGTCCTGACCCTGGTTCTGTCTTTGATTCACTGTGTGCTTTGGGCTGCAGTTTTCTTTCTTAACAAGTGGGGATTTGACGAGGTAATGACTCAGAGGCTAGGATGGCCCAAGTTGCTTCCTTTTTTCTCTTTCTTTCCGAGTCACCTGGCCGAGGAGCCGGGCAATGCCTTCCCAAGCCCTTCATGTCTGTGAAACGCCAGCAGATTTCAGGAGGTGGGATGCCTCCAGGCCATGGTGGGGAGGAGCGGGCCTGCCTACTTCTGCCAGACCTCTAGGCCACACTAGACACTTCGGTTCATATTAAAAAATAAATCTGGGGCTTCCCTGGTGGTGCAATGGTTGGGAGTCCACCTGCCGATGCAGGGGACACGGATTCGTGCCCCGGTCCGGGAAGATCCCACATGTCGCAGAGCGGCTGGGCCCGGGAGCCATGGCCGCTGAGCCTGCGCGTCCGGAGCCTGTGCTCCGCAACGGGAGAGGCCACAACAGTGAGAGGCCCGGGTACCGCAAAAAAAAAAAAAAAAATTAAAAATAAATAAATAAATAAATAAATAAATCTGGAGCTGTTTAACATTCCCAAGCCGGTTGTGTGCGTGCGTGCACACGTGTGTGTGTGTGTGTGTGTGTGTTTATGTGTGTGTGCACAGCATGCAAAACTTGAAAGCAGAGAGTTCCAGTTGGCCCAGAATTTGCCATCTCCATCCAGCTGTTGGCCTTGTCCCTCACAACTCACTCACAGCCCATATTCATAGCTCCTGTGAAGTGGGCCCTGTGATTTTAGCCAGGCGATAAGATTCCCAGCAGCTGGAGGGAACGTGTTTTGACCCCAAAACAGACAAATAAGACTCTTCATCTGGTTGTGGACCTGGGGTCAGGGTGTGTGAAACAATACTGAGATCTTCCTTCTTCACAGAATCAATGTCAGCTGGTTCATTACTAGAAAAAAAATGATTCCACCGAGATCCTACATAAAATATAAACCTCTGTATTTTCTGTTTTATCCCTCAGTCATCATGCTCCTTTCTCATGAAAGTCACAGATTTACTCAAATCACTACTGAGAGGAAAGGACGGCAGAATGGTAATGTGTCACTTTCAGCTGCAAGGGTGTCCTCTTTGGGAAACAAGCAATATTTTAGGCAGGACTGCTGTTACCACGCTTTCAGTTTAAAATGACTAATAAGAGGAGGCAGGAAGAAGAGGTCTCTTTTTTTTGTCTTTGCTATTGTTCTGCTGTCGTCTCTGTGATGTTAGGAAAGGCACTTAATCAGTTGGGGCCCTGTTGATAAGCTGGCCCCTGACAGACCATGGGATGTATTCTGTCAGGGAGGCTTGTCGGCTTTCAGCAGCCTCTGTTCCAAAGAGGAGCTTTTACTTCTTGGCTCTTGGAACGATGTCTGATAGCTAACTAATCACTTGCAGCTTTTTATTCGTATCCACATTTTCGATCTCACCCACATTTTGGAGATTGGGCTGAGTGAAATGTTTGCATTTGCTGAAGGTCTGAACTCAAACAAGGCAACAGGATTTTCTGACTGGGGCCAGACCCTGTCAAGCTAATTTGCTAGGGTACTATTAGAAAACTCGAAATACATCTGAACAGATATTTTTAGATCTTGATTGAAGACGTTTCTCATCTTTATTTAAGGGTCTTGATTCAATTATAAAAAGAAAAACAATACAAAGCAATACTCGACCTGGCTCCTACTTGGTCAAAACCAGACTTACTGTAACTCTAAAATGTTACTGTACTTACCATTTGTCCTTTGGTTTTCAAGCTGTTCAGCATCTGAATACAAAAATTCATTGTTCTGCCCCAAATAACCTCTGTATATTTTGAAGTCTCAAAGGCAACATAATTAGTTTATATACTTTTACTTTTAACTTAATTGTGTATCAATTTTTGTCATTTTGAAAATAATGTCACAGTAAATCTGAAATGATATTATCGGGAGTTTGTCATTTGTAATCCCATGCTATAGTTCAGTAATTATGGAAATTAATGAAGTAAGATAATCTTATTTAGAAGCAATTCACACGATAAATGGAAAATAAAACACAAGAACATAGTTAAACTCAATTCTCATTTTTACAAGCTGTGTCTTCTCATATTACTGGACTGAAACACATTTAGGTTTTCATTGTGAAATGCTGTATTTGTAACAAGTAAGATCACTATTAAAATTAAGCATTAAAGGGCTTCCCTGGTGGCGCAGTGGTTGAGAGTCCGCCTGCCGATGCAGGGGACATGGGTTCGTGCCCCGGTCCGGGAAGATCCCACATGCCGCGGAGCGGCTGGGCCCGGGAGCCATGGCCGCTGAGCCTGCGCGTCCGGAGCCTGTGCTCCGCAACAGGAGAGGCCACAACAGTGAGAGGCCCGCGTACCGGAAAAAAAAAAAAAAAATTAAGCACTAAAGAGTATATTCTTTGCTCTTTCTTTATGCAGCTTGAGAGTATAATGTGTTCCTCAAATTGCTACCATATTGTTTCAGAAATGCTTATCAATGTGAAGTGTTATTCAATTTCACGGAATCCACTGTTCCCATTCAATTGTAAACCAAACAAGAAAACAGATGCGTGATTACAGCTCTTTTGAGAATTAACTTTCAAAAAGATGTGCCTCTCCCCCAGATTCCAAATTTTTTTTTTTTTTTTAGTTACCCTCCTCATTCCAGTTAGCTGCTTTCTGTGACTAGGAGAAGCAGTAGTCAAAATGATACTATGAAAATTTGTCTTCAGAACTACCAGTCTTCTCTTGCCTCTTGAAGACTTTCTTGCCTCCCTTCCACCTCCATCTTCAGGAACTCTGTGCTGTGTCCTGTGTTCTTCCAACTATGGAGGCTGGTGCCTAGGAAAGCAGCTAACATCAGTTATTCCCTAGTGTGATTCCATATTCAGGATTCCAAGGGTATTTCCATTTATTATGTAGAGAATTAGAAACTCTACTTTGGAAGAGATCCTAGCAGTCTGATCATGGCATCTTGCTTTTGTTACCTCGATGTCAGAAAGTTCACGCTTTTCCCGCCATTGCTGATGAGTTCTAATTTTTTTTGGTGGGTAAAATGTGCTTCTTTCTACTTTTTAATCATTGACCTTAATATGCCCTCTAGGAGTAATACAGACTGAATTGAACTACCTGTTCCACTTGACAGCTTTTCAAATATATGAGGAGAGTAACCATGTCTTCCCTTTGCCTTCTTTTAGTCAAGTTAATCATTCCCAGGTCTTTCATTTGTTCCTTATTTGACATGGTTTCCAGATTCTGCCAAGCATTTCCCCTCTCCACGGTCCATCTTGATCACCAGCAGTGAACAAATTCTAATTTCCCCATGCTCTAAAATATGGTATCCAAGACTGAACGCGACACTCCAAGTTTCCCTAATTGACAGAGGGGCCACAAGTGACCTATAATTTGGTATCTACACTTCTCTTAATGAGGTCTCTTGGACACCCCGGGCTTCTTTCCCTTAACCTTTTTTAGATCTGTTAGGCATCAAGCATGGCACTGGAGAGACAATAATGAACAAGACCCAGTCCTTGTCCATGAAGAGCCTATAATTGAGATCAAGTCGTGTAAATAAACAATTACAATGTGGAGTGAACACACAGTGATAAGCCTGTGTAGAAGGTGCTGGAGTGAGAGGGTGCAGTGATTGACTCTGGGTGCCATTGTCGAGGAAGCAGTACTAAGCAGAGATTTGATTGCTGCCAATCCAGGTCTCTCTTACTGATAACAGATTTTCAAATGTAAGCATGCATTTTCTCTGGCAGCTGCCAAATGACAGGCTTGTTCATTGTTAAAGGAATTTCAGGACTTCCTTTTCAGCAGCTCTGAAATTTCAGCTCCACCCTCTCTGTGTAAGACCAGCACAGACACTGCACCCGGGATTCTAAAGGCAACAGGCACAGATGTGGTAACAGGTATCATTTTGTTACTTAAATGGTCTAGAACTTACACCTGAAATGATCTTTTTGCTAGTATCAGCATCCTGTCAGTGACTATTAGTCTTATTTCTTTAAAGGGTGATAGTCAAGATTCAAATCCACAAATATAACCATGTCCTTAAGGGAGATGCACATCCAGATGCCACTTTGGACAAAATGTACACATGGATTTATAGAAAGGACATTGTCACCAAATTTTGGCTTGGTTTCTTACCCCATGAACTGGGTGACTGTTAATAATGCTTTGCTTTCTTATCTAAGACTGAAAACAGAAATAAACAGATCACCCTAACCTTCCTTTATTGTGGGCCCTTCTTGGAAAACAGGAATTAGTTCCATACATACCTTGTCATATTACTCCTATGTATTTGCAGCTTATTCATTCTTCCCATTAAATTTCCAGCCCCTGACACAGCAGTCCGTTTTGTTCTCAGCCTACATCATAGCTGTTGTTCATTGATAAAGGCTGAGTACAGGGGCAGAGGGTGGGCTGATAAGAGATACATTGAAGGAGGTGTGGGTGGTGAGAAGGTGGAGAGGTGGAGAGAGGTCTTAAAATTACCTTAAGGATAAATATTGAATCTAAAAAGACTTCTGGAGATTGCCGCTCAGCTTATTTCCCGGGGAGCAGGAAAAAAAATATGCTTATTGTGTTTGACAAGGTCTTGCCTGTGTGAGGCATCATGAGAGAAAACACGGGTTGGCTGCCTTTCCCACATAAGGTTTCCTTTACCTTTTGCGTGTACTCCTGCTGACAAAGTGTAGATGACGATCTGGATCAAACACGGGGGATAAACAAAAGCACTCAAGGAAATGCTTTATTTTTGTTGTCATTTACCTCTAATTATGGGCATAGGTCTTTCCTTACATAGGGTTGAAATACAGCTTCATCTTCTGTTGCTAATCTCTGAGAGATTGGAATTTTATGGCTCTGAGCTTTAATTCTTTAGCTTCAGAGGTGACCTTGACAGGGCCAAGTTCTTTTTATGATAATGCCTTAAATTTGTGCAATACTTTACAGTTCAATGAAATCTCAATACACCTTATCCTACTTGGAGTTAAATAGAAAGGTGTTATTCTATTTTATAGGTGAGGAAACTGAGGCTCAGAGGGGATCCAAGTTGCTTCAAGGTCATAGATAGTAAGTTATGGAGTTGGTAGTATATGCTAATCTTTGCATTCTGGCTCCAGAACTTCCTCTCCTGAACAGCAGCCTCTAGTTGCAGTGGAGGTTGCAGTTCATTAGGTCCTAGTACAGGTCTTATTGTACGTGATCCTCACAATGGCCCTCTAAGGGAAGATAGGCAGATATATAAGGCATATTGTTTCCTTTGCTCCTTCTCAATAGGTAGGCTAAATTAGAAGAGAATTATGCTTAGTTGAAAGCCAAAGAAATCTTTTACTCTCCATGATATTTTATTTTGTCTTCTAATCTCTAAGGCTCTTTCATGCTGTCATTCATGCAGCATATTTACTAATATTTAGGAAAGTTCTTGTTGCTGAGCATAGTTCAGCAACTGTGGCCAACATCAGTTTTGATTAAAAGAAAGAGATGCTTCTAAATAAGAATTGATGCTCTGTGGTCTCTGGGTATGACTCCTGGCTGAATGTTGGCTGGCAGAGTGTAAAGTCACATTGTTAATCTTCTTTCTTCTCTTCATCTTTCTTGTCTACACTCTTCCATCTCTAATAACAAACTCAGTCACTACCAGCAGCTTTTGACTTGTCTACACCTTGAGACAGTCACTTATCACCAGACCACACTGGCTACTCCTGCATTTTTCCCACTGTGACTGCCAGCTGGATAAAGCTCTCTACAGAGCTTCTTCATGGGCCTGTCACCTGTGTAGTTGTACAGGATATAGTATTAAGAAAGGCCCCATGCTTAGCTGAATGCTCCTGCTGTCACCAACTTGAAAGTCTTGTTAATTTTTGAACAAGGGGCCTTGCATTTTCATTTTGTCTCCAGCCCCACAAATTATGTAGCTGGTCTTGGCTTTCTAACCAAACTCACTGCAGCACACAGGGGTTCACATTCTTGTTCCTTTCATTTACTTCAGAAGTGTAGACCTCTATCCAAGAGACCGGATCTAGTCTTTGACTAAATTTTATCTGAATGTGAAAAGATTTTTCTAAAATACATAGACTTCTGTCATATTTTCTTTCTTAAAAGAAAAGAGAGTTATATAGCTATTAAAAAAAAAACAAAACAAACAACTCTTACTGTACAACTCAGGTTCCTGTTTTACAGGAAAATGATCTCCTATAAAGATGTCCTCCTGAAAGAGAATGAGAGAGAGAGAGAGATAAAAGGGGAGATAGATGAGAGAGAGAGAGAGAGAGAGGAAGGGAGAGAGAGAGTTACAAATAAGTTTCAAATTCCTGGGGTCAGAGGTTGAAGAGCTCAGAAAACTGGACAGAATAGGATATATTCTTATATAATGAGAGGGAAAATGCTCATCTATCAAGCGAGATAGTAGATGAAATTTTGTATGGCTCTGAATTTTGAATTCTATGGAGGGGGCTGCTGAGAGTGGGGATGACTAAGGGGGTTAGGAAATGTGGGACTTTCTCTCATTTGTACCATCCTTTGCTCTGGAGCTGACTTCTACGTAACCCCTCTGCACCGCTTTTTTTTTTTCCTATTTTCTACTTTTTCCTCAATTCTTTTTTTTTTTTCACGTTCCTAGCTTTTTTTCTTTCCTCCTTCCTCTCCCATTATGCATATTATTTTATTTAGTTTATTGACTATAAAGGTATGTCCTTGGCTCTTAATTTAAAGAGTGATTAAATTTTGTATACATTCCTATACTGTTTGCTTTTTTTTTTTCCAAAGGACAACCTGAGGAATAAGAGACTAAATTTGAATTACATTGAAAAAAACTACTTAAAGAGTTGATTACTTGAGAAGTCCATGATTTTCTTTATTTCCTCTCTAGATGATTATCAAAAAGTTGAAATTATTAGCAGAGTTTTAAAAATAACCCTTAATTATTTTCCTGTTTGTCAGTTGCCCCTAATGAATTATCAAGTTCTCCAACCCAAATTTATTTAATGACTATATGGGTATATTTTTCCTGTATTAGACTGTCTTGTCATTAATGGAATTTGATTATAGAATTAGTTTCAAAACTTAAACTTAGTGCATTATCTAGGTTCTATATCCATCTTTTGATCTGGAATTTAATTCTTCCCTGTCTTTGTGTGGGCACAATGAGAGGCATTGGAGTGAAAAGATGAAAAGGCACGACCCTCCCTCAAGAAGTTTGCAGTAATTTGGAGAGATATGCCAACGATTACAGTATGAGAATTGATGGCTGGGAAATGGGCCACAGTGTAATAACAGGGCTTTCACAAGTGTGAGGATCACCAAAGTCTTGAGTGAGATCAGAGAAGGTTCTCAACCAGTACAACTGGTAAACTTTCGCCAATTTCCAAAATTATGGAAAAAATGCTCTTGTATTCTGATAGGAATGGACTTTTCCTTTTGTTGGGAGTTTGGAGAGGTTTGATAAGCACTGGTTTATAAGATACTTTTGCGAAAGAGATGAAGGTGGCATAGCTAGTTAGCACTCTCCTTGAGACAGTAACAAATATTAGGAACTAATATGACTTAGGGTAAAATACCTAACCGCTCTGTGCCATTATTTCCTTACCTGTAAAACAGGTATAAGAACAGTACCTATATCTCATGTAGAGTTATTGTGAGGATTAAGAGAATTTGCATGCTTAGCAGAGTAAAAATATAGTAAATATTGCCATTATCATCTTGACAGTTTCAAAGAAATGTCCACATTTAAAGGGATTTTCTTCCAAAGCAATCAAGCCAGATATGGATTTTCCTCTCATGCATCTTTTAAAGCTGAGTGTCAGGCAGGCAAATTAGAGGATGCTTTCTTAATCTGTGGCATCGATTTTCACTTTCTCCACATATCATTGCTCATTTGTATTGAGATATGCCAGCAAAGGCTAAAAACATTGTCAACTACTAGCCTTGATTACAGAGAGAATCATGGAAAGAGGGCCAGTAAAAGAGGAGGCACTGGGCTTCATCAGGATGGTGAACTGGGCCATGAAAAGGGCATTTTCCAAGGCATGTAAAGGCGTGGGCTTCAGAGCCTAAAAGCACTCTGCTGCTTTCTAGCTGTGTGACCTTGGGCAAGTCACTAGGCATCTCTGAGCCTCAGTTACCCATCTCTAATGGGAAATACAATTTACCCCCCCAAAATATAAAATAAAATAAACAAATACAAATAAGAAAAAAAAAGAGCACCTGGTCTGTTTTCTTCACAGGGTTATATGGAACCATGAAATTTCCTCTGGGTCTAGGAATGGGCCAAGGTGGAGTGTAGAGGTAATAAATGAGAGTTTTATAAGCCCCAGTTCTGGCATTGGTGATTATCTTCTGTTACAAGAAATCCAGGGGCCATTTCCCTATAAAGGACAGGGTCTCCTCAGGATATAAAGCCTCAGAAAGTGAGTAGTCAGCAATTTATTTCTGGACTTGGATGCCCAGGAAATCTGAGAGCCTTTCTTTGAGTGACATGATTTTTCATCTAGGATAAAGGGCATTTTTATGGCCCTTGGATCTCTGTTCTGAGAGGATGGCTCTAACTTTCAGGAGGTGCTAGCTTGTGGCCAAAAACAGATTAGGTCTGACTGATCAGGAGAAAGAGGAAGTGAGAGGAGAAAACAAACTGCCTTTGGAAGAGAGAAGAGCTGTTTCTAGCCAAAATGTAATTCATACTCATTGTGAAGAACTGGGGAAATGAGAGGAGGTACATAGAAGTAAAATCAGCTGAATATCCACCAGCAAGAGAGATAATAGTTGTCAGCACTTTGCTGCAGTTGATAACTTGGTTTTTTGATGCATGTAGAATATTTTACAAAATTAGAAAGCTATCCAAAATGCAGTTGAATATCCTGTTTTGTACTTAACATTATTTTATTAGTATTTTCCACATCAATAAGTGTTAGCTAAAATTTCACTTTTAATGGCTATATAATATCCCACTGTGTGTATGCCCCATAATTTATTCAATTCTTATTTTTAAATATTTTGTGGTATTTTTGATTTAGTATAAATAAAATGTAAAATACCTCTTTATACACAAACTTTGTATGGGTTTCTCATTTTTCATTAAAGATATATTTTGTAAAATGGAACTCCTGCAGGAAGGATCCAAACTTTATGGACCCGTAGTACATACCCCCAGATTGCAATGGAGTAAGATTGTTCATACTTATATTTGATGGTGGCATACCAAAGCACATTTCAAATTATCTTTGCTGAGAAGGCACATCTTACTCCAAACCACATTTCTGGCTCCTTTCCCTATAATTCATTACTGAAAACTGAGCAAGAACCACTGTATCCCCCAAATCAAAGACTCCATCAATTATACGATGCACCATTACTTTACGTATCACTGAGAAAGAAAAAATGCTGCCAATGAAATTAGGATGCACCATCATTTCTAAGATGCATCCCAACTTCAGAAATGTTAAAGTGTGGAAAAATGTGCAACTCGGAATGAAAGAAATATTTATTTCATTTTTTTCTCTTTGAGAGTTCTTCCTTGGACCTTTTGTAAGCAAGTCAAGATGGACATGACACCAAATGCAGGGGAGGGAGTGTCTGGCTTTTATCCGATGTACCGGATACAACCCCTCTGCCTTCTGTCCTTCTCTTTTCCCACCTCTAGCCCATCTCGGGCATTGCCCCCACGTACCCCTCATCACAGCTCCCTTGTTACCGACCTTAGTTCTCTTTTCTCCTCATTGTGCTTCCAAATCATCTTGCCGTAGTGAGTAGAGTCACCTAGGGTGGTGGTGGAAGTAGGAGCAGAGTTTGCATAAAGCGTTTTCTTGAAATTTTAACTGACCCATTTCTTACAACACGCTCTTATTATCCAGTTATTTTGGGTGACCACCCATGCTAATCAGTCCTTCCTGTTTTAGCTTAATCTCTATTTTTCTAAAGATGTACTCCCAAATTTTATAATCATCCTTCTCTGTTTATATTGAGAGAAATGTACACACACATACACTTTATATCTTCCTCCTTTCTCTCTCTACGTGTGTGTTTGTAATACAAACATATGTACTTATATACATACTTCTATATGTATATATTTGATGAATATATACTTTATACACTTTATATTTCTTGGAAAAAAGAGAGCACTCATAATATGCCCACAGTGAAAAGCATATACCCATACTTTATTAATATACATATTTCATAGAGAAAACATAATGTCCATGTCCACATACATTTATTTATTTATAAATATATATCTATATATATTTTGTAAATGGGTCAGTATATAATACCCTCTTTTCCCCACTAGAGTTCTGAACCAGTTGAAATCAACAAACGGATAGGCAGGCGGAGATCAGAGTACCATTTTATTTCTGATAAAGTGTGGGTTGGAGAGCGCAGTACAGACAGGAGTCACAACAGGTACACTAACGCTGAGCCCAGAATTAAACTGACTCGGCCTTCAGCCCCAGGCCACACAGGACTGCCACAACCCTCCCTCTCCCACAAGCAGGGCACATATCTAATCATGAAGGTTACTGCGTGGCCCAGAGTAGATAAGATGTACTTTCCACAGGTTGGCCAGTTCCTAAACACAGTGAGGGGAAGGGGCTGAGCTGGCCATGCCTGGTTTTTCTGCCTACCTCATCCATCACCAAGGCACACCACCACCGAGAGGGGTGCTGCAGGAGATCTGGAGCATTCGAGGAAAGACCCCTTCTCGTAGAAGCCTGATGGATGGAAAAGGCAGGGCTCTCCCCGTCACTGGCTTTTATTTACACAGAGAAGAAAACTGAGACCAAGAAAGTTTTACCCACTTTGCCAGAATCATGAAGCTAGTTAATGGCAGAGTTGATCTTACATTCGTCTTCTCCTGACATTTACTTTGGTGGTCTTTGGCAGAGCAAAGGGAATGGGCTAATTCATGATAAAAAGGCTATTCATTCATTCAACAATAGTTATCGAACACCCCTGTGTACCAGCCACTGTCTGGTCTCTGGAAATAGGGCTGAACAATATAGAAAATGTACCTGCCTTATTGAAACATACCTCCTAGTTGGGGAGACATAATAAACTACTCACTAAGAGTATAAAGACAAGTGCAACAGGATAAGGGTGACAGAAGCTATTCTTATAGGAAGTACACAGAGAAAACCTCCAGGAGAAGAGACTTGAAGAGGCTAGCCAGGGGGTTTTTGGAGGAAAAGCCTTCCGGGCTGAGGGAATGGCCAGTGTAAATGCCCAGAGACCTAATGTGTCAGGTTTTGAAGGTGTATTCTTGCTAATTCAAAGAGAGAAGGAAAGTCAGAGAGGGTAACAAGCAAATGAGTAGATATTTTGGACTCCACACCGAGGACTACTTGCCCCTATTCCTAAAGCTAATCTAGCTGGCGGTTTTTGGTGATTAAAATCCTGGGCGAAACATCCCTGGAAGACCTTGCCAACTCCTCGTTTTAATTCTCAGCTGAGCAGTGTTATTCTAGGTTACTCATCTGGAAGAATGCTTTGGAAAGATCTTTATTGTCCTGTGGTTCTCCCATGCTAATAATGCAGCACCCTCTCTGAGCAGGGAATGCCATGCACATTAGGGGCGAGAGTGTCTAAAAGTCCTAGCACCTGTTTTATTGCTTGTTCACTGTCATCCCTTATTAGTGAAGGTGTCACAGACCAGACTTATATCCTGTTGGGCATTTGGTATGTTTGTACTAAATGCTTGTATTACATTGATTTTGAATTGCCAACGCTATTAAGCGGGTAAACAGCACAGCTTTAGAAGAAATCCTCTGAGCTTTTGGATATTAAGATATTCTTAACTTCTGCTCTATTTTTGTGACAGCAAAGTCTCTGGTAAGTTCCAAAGGATCATATAGCCTGCTCATCAGTAGGCTCTGGATCCATGAAACTTGTGTTTCAAGCTAGTTACTGCCGTCATTATGGTGTGACACTATAGGGACCCACCGTGATGTGAGATTTCAGGAAAACTGCACATTAAGAACTAATCCGTTCCGTTCACCTGGAAGAAAAGTCATTGGGCAAGAAGTGGGAGGGTAGCAATGCCCAGGAACATTAACTTGCTCAGCATGGTGCTGAACTAGTGTCGGCCAGGGGGCTACATAATTAAGGCACAAGCACTCTCCTAACTATGGTAGGGGAGGAAAGGTAAAGGGGAGCGGAACAGATCTGGAAAAAGTCTTATCTGTGTGTGTGCATTAGTGTCTTTCAAAGGCACAGGTGAAAAAATGCCTCTCAGAAGTAAGGAAAGAGAATTGAGGTGGGTAATCACATTTCTCTCTCCTCTCCATCTCTCTAGGAAAAGCCAGGGAAAGCAAAGATGGGGGGATAAAATGCACTGTGAACTAAGAGCGGAGGAAGGGCCATGGGTGCAGGGTGAGTGCGTTGTGCCTGTCATTGTATTTTCCCCTCCCTGAAACATTTTCTAAGGCAGTGCCCAGAACACAATAGGGCCTTAATTCTTATTTGTTGAAAAAATGAATACATGAGTGAATAAATGAAAGAAGTGTGGGCTGGGCACATTGACTTAAAGCCCGGTGCTCTTTTCAGGTCCTGCCTGATAAATTGTTTTAAAATGAATTGTTTTAAAATGAATTGTATAAAGAGAGCCTATTTAAGGGAACTCCATTCAAAATCACATTGTATTTGATAGGGTGACTTTGAATGTACTCATCTCATGCTTTCAAAAATTTTAGAGAGAAATCAACTATATTTCGATAATAAAATAAAATAAATAAAATAAAGAACCCCCCAAATTTTAGAGAAGACCGTGGCCTTAAGGCAGAAGAAGAAATATGAACCTGTCCCTAGACTTAATGTAACATGGATATGTTTACATGAAAACTTTCATTGTAAGGTTTGTCATACCTGTCAATTGACCATGGATAAAATTTTACTACTGATGCACACAATTCACTCCTGTTGGTTTTAGCAGGAGCTTCAGAAGCGCCTCAAAGTCCTATGTGGGTTAGACATGATCCTTGAGACAATGTAAGCCTTATCCTCAGTTTCTCTCTGGCTACCATATTATTTAATAGTAATCAATTATCTGAATATTTTTCTGTAGCCATTCACATCTATTCACCCAGACTTCATCTTCCTAGGCTTGTATACACATATATCCATCTATCCCATGACCTGTCTTTCACATTCTCCATTCACGCATCTATCCATGCATCCATCTACATGTCCATCTATACATTCATCCACACATCCATCCATCCATCCATCCAATTTTTATTTACAAGCATATGCTATGTGCCAGGTTGTGCGTTTTGAGACTAGACATAATGACAACAGGGTCTTTTGTCCCTGTAGCTTATTGTCATTTTAGTCTACATTTTGGACCGACCCAGCACACTGTGTAAACTTCTATTGTACTCTCACGCTGGTACACTTGTCTGTTTCCACAACTACACAATTACCAATCAAGGCCATGATTTGTTCCAACCACCTAATTATGTTGATGGGAAATCTGTGCATGAGGGAGGATGTGTGATTTGCCCATGTGTTCTGAACTTTATTGCTGGCTGAATAAAAACTAAGACTTAGTAAGACTGTATTCTCTCTTACAATCTGGGGTCCTTTCTGTTACATCATGTACGGTGAGTTCTTCCTGTACTTGTGCTCACAGGTGGTGTGTATCTGGGACTAAAGCTGAAGTGGGTGTTCCCTTCCTGAACGGAACGTAGCCTCTGCAGATGGTCTGGAGTTTGGGGTCTAGCTATTATTCAGGATGACCCTGTAAGTCTTGGGAACGTAGAGACTGATGAGTCCTCAAGAAGCCAAAAAAAGATCAGTGCTGCCATGTCTTTCAATTTTTCAAAGAATATTTATGAAGTGTCATTAGAGAACTTCAAGTCTCCACAAAATACTGCATTTACAGATGACGCCCACTTCAGTAAGAGCCTAAGGGGGGACTCATTAGTAGGCAATCAGTTATTCAACTTGTTAAACATTAATTTCTCTTATGCTTCTGGTCTGCCTTGTGCAAGCATAAGGGGTGGGGGGAGATAGCAAACTAGAGTTTGAACAAGTTATCCAGTGCTTGCTGGCAGCTCTGCTTTTCCTCTGTGGGTCTAAATATTTCTTTGGTATCTCCTTAATTTTCCTGGGGGCTCATAGAACAGGAGGACTTCTAAATAGTGGGGCTGTTTCCTCTAATTTTAAAAAGAATCATGAATGGATGGTCTTTTGCACACAAGTAACCTGGCGGTCTCATGCTCTCACTGGAGAGGGTGAACCCCAGATGTCTTGGATGCTAAAGTTCTCAAGGCAGTAGACATTTGCCCATGAGGCTATAGGTATCTACTGATGGGATGACGATGTTGTGGGAAAAGAAAGGATCCCCTCCTGAGGATTTGGTAAAGGAAGTATGGGACAGAGAAAAGGAACAGTGGGGACAGATTCTAGGTTCCCAGAATCTGGGAACCTGGGCAAGAGAAGGAAGGGAGCAGTATGTAGAGAGAGAGGCAGAGAACTAGCAGAACCGAGATGCTGTGTTCTGGAATAGGAAGCTGTGGAGCCACGTCTGGGGGGACCAATGATCCATGGCACAGCTCCTCTGAAACATAGTCCAGGGTAGGGCTGACATGAGTCAGGCAAGGTGTCTGGGCTTGTGCTACAAGGTACAGGTTCAGGGCAGAACTTTAGAATCAGCAGTTTGATGCCATCCAGAGCATGACTTAAAGAGAAAGTCAGCAAGGGGATGGGTAGAGAAAGACCACGTGCCCAGACCAGTCCCTGGGGCTAGAGAAGCAAGGTGG